TGAGGGAGCTGGGGTTGTTTAGTCTGGAGAAGAGAAGGCTTAGAGGTGACCTCATCACTCTCTTCAACTACCTGAAGGCAGGTTATAGCCAGGTGGGGGTTGGTCTCTTCTCCCAGGCAACCAACAATAGGACAAGAGGACATGGGCTCAAGCTCTGCCAGGGGAGGTTTAGGTTAGATGTTAGGAAGAAATTCTTTACAGAGAGGGTAATCAGACATTGGAACGGCCTACCCAGAGAGGTGGTGGATTCACCATCCCTGGAGGTTTTTAAGCAGAGATTGGATGTGGCCCTTAGTGCCATGATATAGTAATTGGAGTTGGATCAGGGGTTAGACTTGATGATCTCGGAGGTCTTTTCCAACCCAATCTATTCTATGATTCTATGATTGAAGCATTTAATGAGTAGACTGCATTTCCATGTGAGGGCTCACATGAAGACTCTTCTTAACTTGAAGAGCTCATGTCTCCAGAGGGGCATGGGGCATGGGCCCTAAAAGGGACTATTGGAAACAAGCTCCTTGTGAAAACTTTCATAGAAAGATAACTTAGACTAATACTTATGAAATGCTAATAAAACCTCATGTTTTAATCATACACTTGTTTCATTTTTCTTCAGGTATATGTTGATATTCCAGGAGCCATGGATTTATTCCTTAACTTACCATTGGTCATTGGTACCATTCCTCTACATCCATTTGGTAGCAGAACATCAAGTGTAAGCAGCCAGGGTAGCATGAACATGAACTGGCTTGGTCTGACACTGCCTGAAAGACTAGAAGGTAACTTGACAATACAAATCCCAATCAATTTGCTAGTCTCTTTTGATTTTTGTCTGCTTTATTCATTGCAGTCTTGCTAACAGAGTCAAATTACATCCTTTTATAATAAAGCCTACAGGAAATCTGTTTCTACAACTGCTTGTTCTGTGTAGAAGAACAGTGTTTCTTCCCATCCTGCCTTTCTGTCTCTAGGACAGGCAGTGAAATCTAGCTACCTTGGTAAGTGGCAAAGATGAAAGCACAGGATACCATTGTATCTGTGCACAACTTCATTACTTCTACGGTATCCCAATTGCATCCTTGGTTATAAGGCATTTCAACCCATAATAGCAGTTTCTGGCATCTCTCCCCAGCCTTAGTAGCCAAGGCTTTGTGAAAAGATAACATTCTTTTCCATGAGAAATCTCTTATGGCCAAATTATGTATTTCCTTTCTTCTCTTTTTGCATATCTAATATCCTGCTTTTTTAAGTATAAATCCTGGACCTGGAGACTTTTGGAGTGCAGAGGACTGCAATGTTCTCTTATTCCTAACTGTACAGAAATAAATTATGTTTGGTATGATTTAAAGTTTAAAGGAATAATTAAGCCACAATAAACAGTGGTCAGTCTGGTTTTAAACATGTTTAATATTAGAATAAAACACCAAAGTTTTGTTTAACAATTTTAAAGTCATAATTTATCTTCTGGTGAATCTTTCAGTGATTGAAGTTTAGTATTTATCATGTTATGTATTTTGTCATGCATAAGAAGTTGTTTGAACTATATGTACCTTTTCCCTCCAGCACCTCCTAGCTATGCAGAAGTGGTGACAGAGGAAAACATACAGTCTGATCTTGCACCTGTAGCTGCTTTTGATGATTTTCAGAGAGCGCTGCAAGGACCATTATTTGCATACATCCACGAGTTTCGTTTTCTGCCTCCTCCCCTATATTCGGAAGTAGGTATATCTGTCAGAATATGATGATTTCTATATTGTTTGTCACTGATTGTTTTAGCAACTACTAAACTGTTTTGCGTGTGTGTTTAAATTCTGTGGATGTAGGGCTTTCAGAAGTTTCATGTAGAAAAGTGATGTATTGGTATTAATTTATTACTTTTCTGACATACACTTTTGGCCTTTACAGAACTAAAAATGCAGCCACTGAATAACCATGATTGAGATGCAAATTTCAAAGCTTTTCATGTTTGTCTTTTTCAAGAAAAAGCAATGATATAGGACAAATGAAAAAAAGTGTCCTCTGGCCAAAGTTTGTCTGAATTTACCCACTTTAAGAAAATAGCACTGTGTAGCACAACCCCCCCCCCCCCCCCCCCATCCCCCGGGTTGAAACACAAAAAAAGGCTACATGAAGTTAACTGATGTAATGTTGTCCAAAAGATGCAATGTACAGTTAAACTATTCTTACCATCCAGTTTTTGAGACCTAAGTTATCAGGCTGTACCCTTTCTTTCTCCTATAGAGAGGAAGAAGAGTTAAGGCTTAGAACATATGAACTTTTTCAAGTTCATATGAAGTTTTGAAGGATATTTGAGAACTACTTTAAAAGTAGAATCATTTTTTTATTGATAAGTTTCTACCTTTTCAAGCAAAACTTCTCTCAATAAATATTTCCTGATTATCTTTCTAGTGATATGTGTCAAGTCATCTTTTTTGTATAAATCAGATAATTCAAAAGACTTCTGTGTGAGTAAAGGAGAAATTGTTTAAGTTTTGTAGTAGTTATTCATGCTTATCCTTAAATTACCATCAACCTGTAGTTTAAAGACTTCCACTGTATCTAATATTTCTATTAATGTTTATCCAAAGTTTTTTCTAAATAGAAATTTTTCAATTATTTCAATAACCTTTGGACTCAAAATGCCACATATCATTATAATTGTCTTTAACTTGTGATTTTTTATTTTTATTTTTAGCAATTGATTCTAAAATGCACTGGGTTATTGTGGCCTTTATTTTTTTGTTGTTGTTGTTCTGGGTTTTTTTGGTTGGTTGGTTTTTTTTCTTTTTCTTTTGGTTAGATTGATCCAAACCCAGATCAGCCCACAGATGAGATACCATCTTGCCCCTTTTGTTGAAGGAATCCATAAAAAGGTGACTTGACATGGGTTTTGAATCACACCTGCTGTGTTGAAGATCAAGGTGTCATAGTGGAGACTTGCTTTTAAAGGAAATGGTATTGCTCTTGCCTGTACAGTGAATAAATGAAAAGAACCTCTGATCACGCTTTGATGTCTATAGCACATCATAGTACTGCTCCACATGCTTGAAAACCTGTGGCCCTCTCCCTTAAATAGTGACACATACTAGGAGCAGCCTTACTAGCATACAGTCATGTGTTTCAAAACACTCAAACCATGTTGTAAGAAAGCTTTAACCAAAAAAAAAAAAAAAAAAAAAAAAAAGAGAGAGGTGATAAAGACTGACAAATGCCCTGACTTTTTTTTTTTTTTTTT